TTGGGGGCGATATGCTGACTCTGTAAACCGCTTAGAGAGGGCTGAAAGCCCTATGAAGCGCTATATAAGTCTAACTGCTATTGCTATTGCTATTTCCAATCCCTGTCTGGCACGTCCCGTCCCCCAGGGGTGTTATTGTACAGAGCCGCTACTGAATCCATCTTCCATTCTTGGGGGGGTCGGGACAGGAATCGCCGTGGCTTTGAAACAAGCCATGACTCCTGAATTCAAGACCTACCAGCAACAGGTGGTGGCCAACTGCAAGGCTTTGTCAGCCGCGCTCACCAGCTTGGGATACCACATCGTCACCGGTAAGAAAATGTCCTTCTCCGGGACAATTCTCACACCGTTTCTTTCCGAATAAACGTCAAACAGGAATTGTGTTGTTCGGCAGCCACCTGTATAGTTCTCCTCCGGCGTCTTCTCCAAAGCGCACGGGGCAACGCTTTAGCCGCTGTTCCCACCCCCCCTTTCGTCTCTCTTTGCAGGGGGCTCTGACAACCACTTGATCCTGGTCGATCTGCGCAACCGGGGCACGGATGGTGGGCGAGCTGAACGGGTCCTGGAGCTCTGCGCCATCGCCTGCAACAAGAACACCTGTCCAGGTGAGGGAGGCTCAGCCAGGAGGGACGCACTTTAGGGGTTTTTGCTAGCGTTGGGGTTTACAAGGACGGCGGGCTTTGCTTGGTGCCACCGCTAGGACCTTCTGACCCGGGGAAGACAACGCAGTGGCTAACAGCGACCCCCCACAAGCCTTGCGGTCAGGGAAGCTGAATTCTGGCAATCCCAGCTTCCGTCCTTTAGGGGGTGGGAGATGGGAAGTGGGAGGGACGGAAATCGGAAAGCCGCGTTTTTCCATCCCCAGACTGATAGTCACGAGGGGAGTTGGAACACAGCCACCCTCGTATTAAAGCCGGTTTAATGTAGGCCTTCGAGACCGAACCGCAGTCACTGAGCACAGCTGCTTGCAGGAAGGACCCTCCCCTTAAACCCCCACCTGTTTTACTTTCCTGCCATTGAATCCCTAGGAGACAAAAGCGCTTTGCGCCCCAGTGGGCTGAGACTGGGGACCCCGGCCCTCACCTCCAGAGGACTTCTGGAAGAAGACTTCAGAAAAGTGGCCCACTTCATTCATAAAGGTGAGCTGGTCGTTTTACCTGCTAACTTGCCTGCCCTCTTCCCTTCCTCCCTTTCTTAGGCCCAGCGCTTATTGTCTGAATCCTGGAGGGTGGGGGGGGGGTAGTGAAGTGCTTTAAGGCAGAACTCTCTAATCTTGGCAACTTTTAAGACTTGTGGATTTTGAATCCCAGCCTGTGCTGGCTGGGGAATTCTGTGAGTTGAAAGTCTGCATGTCTTAAAATTGCCAAGGTTGATAGAACCTGACTTTAAGGCAGTGTTTCTCAACCTTGGCAACTTGAAGATGTCCGGACTTCAACTCCTAGAATTCCCCAGCCAGCATTCGCTGGCTGGGGAATTCTGGGAATTGAAGTCCGGACATCTTCAAGTTGCCAAGGTTGAGAAACACTGCTCTATGAGCTGTGGTGGCGCACTCTGTGGACAGAGTGCAGTACTGCAGGCTCCTGCTGCCTGCCAGCTACCTGCAGTTTGGCAGTTTAAATCCCACCAGGAAGGAGGGAGGGAGAGAAGAAAGGAGGGAAGGAAGGAGGGAATGTAGGAGAGAAGAAAGGAGGGAAGGAAGGAGGGAATGTAGGAGAGAAGAAAGGGGGGAAGGTAGGAGGAAAGGAAGGTTGAAAGGAAGGAGGGAAGGAAGCAGGGAAGGAGGAGGGAAGGAGAGAAGGAGACTGCGTTTAAGAGAACTGGGTGAGAACTTAGGGGAGGGGAGAGCTCCCTGCCTGATTGTGGTTTGCAAAGCTGCAGAAATGTAATCTTTAACCTGGAACAGGCTCCTTTAAGGAGTGGGGGGCTCCCCTTTTCTGGCATCATTGAGGCCAAGTCCAATCAGAGGAACCCTTTGTTTCTTGCCTCCCAGAGATTTCATTCCACGCGGTGGGAATAAGCATCCTCCCACCCTATTCCTCGGTCTTGTTTTCAGTGAGCTGCTTCAGCTCAGGCAGGTGTCTCTCTCTTCCCCCCTACAGGTATCGAGATCACCTTGCAGGTCCAGAGCGACATGAGCCCCAAGGCCACCCTGAAGGAGTTCAAGGAGAAGTTGGTGACGGAAGAGAAATATCGAGGGCTGCTGAAGTCCCTCGAGGCGGAGGTGGAGGCCTTCGCCGATTCCTTCCCGCTTCCCGGCTTGCCTGTGTTGTAAAGGAGCCACATCTGGAATGGCGCCCACCCCCCACCCCTGCTGTCCTCTTGCAACGGGACCCTCCCCGCCCCCCAATAACCGTCTTCGGTTTCCCTTGGCTTGGCCTCCGCTTTTATAACCCGCTTTTTAACCAAATTCTGTTCCTCCCCCTTTGTAAAAATGAAAAATGCGCCAGAGCTGGCAAGGGAAATGGAAGGAAGGCGGATTTTAGCCCCCATCCTCTCTGGAACTATTAATGACAGGCCGGTGTGTGTCCCCCGCACCCCTCCAGGCAGCATTGCCTTCTTTTCTTGGGGAGTGAAATCCCAGGTCAATGAATGCGAGGTTCACCCTTAGGAAAGGGGGGGAAAAATCATTTTAAATGGGAGAGAAGGAAAGTTAATAGTCCAGCTGAGTGAGTTGTATTTTTATGGAGTTTGGCATCTGGGGCAGAGGTGGTGTTTTGAGGGACGGCTCCATGTTTAGTCGAGGTGGCGCAGTGGTTAAATGCAGCACTGCAGGCTACTTCAGCTGACTGCAGTTCTGCAGTTCAGCGGTTCTAATCTCACCGGCTCAGGGTTGACTCAGCCTTCCATCCTTCCGAGGTGGGTAAAATGAGAACCTGGATTGTTGTTGGGGCAACATGCTGACTCTGTAAACCGCTTAGCGAGGGCTGAAAAGCCCTATGAAGTGGTATATAAGTCTAACTGCTATTGCTATTGCTATAGTCAATGGCTTTTTGGAAAGTAATTCTGCAAGATTCCTTTAAAAAATGTGTAAATTAAGGCTCAATCATCAGACCAAAAGTATCTTCAAAAGGTTAAATCGTGGTGACTGGACCAAAAGTTTATTAAAATGGAGCTTTTTCGTTACTCGTCCAAATAACCTCTTCAGAAACTCCCTGCAGTCTGTATGGCAAAGAGTTGGGTCATTCCAAGGACTCTGCCTACCCAAAATTTTCATCCTGACTTAAGAAGTCACACTTGGATGAGCCGCAAAATGTCTCAGTTTTAATAAACTCTGGTCCAGTTGCCATCATTTAACCCTTTTCAGATACTCCTTGAAAAGTTTTCGGACTCTTCTCAGAGAGTCTTCCCCAATGAGATTATTCCACACTGTGCTCTTTCGACCTCGTGGGAAAAAGAAGAAATAGCACAATTGTGTAAAAGGTTTTCAAGCAGAAGATGCTACCTAGGCCTCTTGCCGGAAAAAAACAAACACGTTGATGCCACAGGAGAAGCATCTCTTCTGGAGATCCTTTGGAGAGAAGTTGGGGGGGAGCAAATTGTTCTCCAAACTGTTTTGCGTCAAGTTACAGAATTTATTGCCACAATTTATAGGGATGACCACATGGCTGAAGCAGGAGGTGGCCTACCTTCCATTCACCTCGCAGCCTTTTTGGGAAACCTGGTGGCTGGCCAGGGAGGGAGGGAGGCAGGAAGCTAAACGATGTGGGGATTTTAATTTCCTCTCCTATGCCTGAGCTTCCCACGGTTTGTACTTCCAATTCCCAAAAAGCAGATGTGCCATTCAAGGAAAGGGGCGCTTTTAATGACAAGCCGAGCAACATATTTTGACACCAAATTTCTCCCCACTTGCAATTTCTTTCCCCACCCGCCACCGACAGTTGCCTTCACTGTACTAGATGCAGAAGCCCAAACAGACGGTCAGGACACTTTTTACTAAGCACAATAAAATTAAGGATTTTACCACGAGTGCATGGGTTATATAAGCTTTAAAAAATACAACAATATATATAGATATATATTTGTATTCCAAAAAATATTTGCGCCCAAATAAATAATTTCCTTTTTAAATATACACTTTTTTTTTTTAAAGTCACAGTCACTTGGTGTTGGAATATTATTTCATCCAGTTCTTGCTCAGGATGTGATTCAATAGCCAGAACGCGTCAAGGCTGCCTGGGTTTCTCTGAAGGGTCCCAGTTTTTACTGCAAAAGCCCTGGGACCAAACCGGAAAACCAAACATGCAGAGATGAGAGACGCTGCCTGGGAAGTGAGGGTGTTAGCGGGGAGTGACAAACGGGGGGCGGGAATTGGCAATAGGAGGAAAGTGGGGAGGTGGAGCCTTTTCTCTCTAGGGACCCCTGGAAGGGCTGTGCTACATCGACAGATACTACAAGGGCAGGCCAGCCAGCACCAGGCCAACTCAAGCGAGGTCTACGTACAGTCGCAGCAACTACGAAGCGACTCCAGGTGGCTCTCAAAAGGCCCTGGAAGGGCACAGCCACTCAGCTACCGAGCTGCATTCCTAAAGGAGTGATCCGCAACCTTGGCCATGATCAGAGGTGGGGGATTTCAACTCCCAGAATTCCCCAGCCAGCAGTCCACACCTCTGACGGTGGCCAAGGTTGTGGAACGCTGCCCCAAAGTTAAAGGAGCCCCCTAAAAACACTCTGGTGCCTAAAAAAAATCAGATGACGCTTTCCAGCCAACTCTCGGGGGATTGCAGGGAAACAAGTTTTAGGGTTTCTTAAATATGCCCAGAATCAGAACATTTTATTTCCAAATCTGCTCCCTGGTCTTGCTGAAATGCAACAATTCTTTGTTGCTGTGCCAGTAGGGATGACATCAATGAAACTGGCAACACAACCAACTCTCCCCAAACATTTCATTGGGAGGAAGAAGAAATCGATGTTGGAAATCTTTTCCAAATGAGTAAACGAAGTGCACTCCCAAAAGCTTTCTCAAACTTGGGTCTTGTGCAATCCTGACCTTCCACAGGAGGAAAAACTGGTATGTTTTCAGCATGAGCTGGAATATTTTCAAGAGCAAAGAACAAAGATCTTGATCTACAGTGTTCTTTGCCAGCAAGCGAAGGGCTGTTTGAGCCGCTTCCTTTATTAGCCAAGATCTAAGCCGCTATCTAGAGCAAAGGAATTGTTGTCTTTGGGTGCATCCATGCCGATGCTGGGAGGTCACTGGACCCGGCCAATGTGGGGTTCAAAACTCTCAGGTGTCACATTATGGGGAACAGTGCAGTGCTTCAATGTCACAAAAGAGTCTACACAATGCAGCTGACAGTCTGAGCAACTCTTAGGCTGTGCCCTGCCCAAACACCAAGCCACGTTAGGTTGTTACCCAAGGGCCACCCGTATCCACATTCAGAAGTGCAACACAATAGTGAGTTTCCCTTTTGAGTCGATCGCCCCGCCCCCAATTCAACTCCCAAAGCCGCCTCAGCGAATCAGAAACTTCCTATTCAGTTTCCAAACGCTGCCCTCTGTTCAAAAAAGGGGAGTAAAACCAACAAGGCCGCTGTGTCATTTCAAATGTGACAAGACAATTGACCAAATAATAAATTCACATTAGTTGGAATATTATCCCACATGCAAGGAGATACCCTGGAGATAACCCCACCGATCTGCAAAAGACACGACAGGAAAAACTTGCTCACGAATTCGGTGTCCCAGCTTCCTCAACTCTATGACTGCCCGCCACATTCATGCCCCGTGTGCAATGCCACTCTCCTGCCTTTTAAGAGCAACCTGGCAGTGGTATCCGACGTCTGGAGTCTCGCTGTAATCTCTCTCGCTCTCAGGATTCCCACGGGACAGTCCTGGAACGGTGGAAGCCTGTTAATGGCCGCAGACGAATGTGGGATGGGGAGGGACATTGGCAGGGCAGGCTACGGATGCCGCCTAAATTTTGTACAAAGAGCTGGGCAGGTAATCGAACCTGAGCACGGGGCAAACCCCGCGGATGGGATCCTGAATGTACTGCAATTTCAGAAGCTCGGCCAGATACTGGACCACTCTGCGGTCCTCGTTTGCCAGACCCAGCTGGACTTTCAAGAAGTTCTCCCGCCGCGCGGTGACAGAGTCCTCCGTCTCTCCCTCCCGGATGGGGAGGTGCAGGTGATGGCAGAAAGCGTAGAGGAAGGCCTTGGAGCAGAGCTGGGTGAGGAGGGCCTGGACGTGCACGTGGTAGGTGCTCCCCCGCTTGATCTGGGTGCGGTGGTCGGCCAGCCGGAGGATCAGGTGCCCCCGGTACTGCGGACAGCGGAGGGTCTTGTAGTCGGCGTCCAGCACGCTGATGTATCGGCTGTACCGGCTGAGAGAATGCATCATGTTGGGGCCACCTGGAGAGGTTGACCTGGAAAGAGAAGAAGGAACAGGTGCAAATGGGGAGGCTGAGACAGAGTGAAGCGTCTTAAGAGGAGGAGCCAACATTAAACTCTCTCAAAGGCCACTATTGAAAAGGATTTTATAGGCCCTTCTCTAATGCACTTTCTGGGGAGATCTTAGCTAAAGAATAGGATACCTTATTGCCTTTCAACAGCTCATTCCCTTATCTACGTTTACCTAACCTCTTCCCCATATCCCAGCATTGGTTAGAACAGAATGAAGGAAACGGAGATCATGCCTGCACAATTTCCTCCTTTGCTTACTTAATGGGGCAGACAAACCAATTGAATACATAAATGAATTTATGATCGTGGCTGTTCAAATCTCAGCCTGGCCACATCCAACGACCACTGAAACTTGAGAAAGTTACTGGTGATTTTTAGCAAAACTGCAAGTTCCTCTTTCTCTCCTCAGGCTGTGGTTCAATTAGTAATTAGTAATTTAATAAATTTATATGCCGCCCAATCCTGTAGGACTCCGGGCGGCTTACAAAAACAAGATAAAAGATAAAAGTTAAAAATAGAAAAGGAGAAACAAATTTAAAAACAACACACCATACATTCCGTCTAGGTGGGGCTGGACCTCGTTCATGAAGTCAACAGCCCCAGGCCTGCCGGAATAGCCAGTTTTTAGTAGCTTTTCGGAAGGCCGAGAGAGTGGAAAGGGTCCGAATCTCTACGGGTAGATCGTTCCACAGGGCTGGAGCAGCTAGAGAAGGCCCTTCCCTTTACTGTTTGCCCAAACACAGGAAACCAGCAACCTTGTCTTTTCAGTCAGCTGATCAACTGGTTGGCAGGAGACAAGCAGACAAGGTTCTGTCAGGCACACCTGCCGGAGTTGTTTGCTGAGATGGGCAGCTACAGAAACTGAATAAATAAACAAACAGGTTCGCCACTTTGCTCCACCCTAGCCTTATTTCTCAATTTAGTTCCCCAGGCTCAGCTTCCTTTCGATCCACCTTCCTTACGACCCTCCCAAGTGTTGGCTAAAGAACATCCCTCAAACCATATTTGAACAGGATATTTATGTATAAGAAGGATAAACATGCCAATACACAGCACTCTTCTACTTCCACACTTCACTGGCCAGTCCAGTCAGCCGGCCAATACCAGCAGAGGCCCATTTCGGATCCTGCCACTCAAGAAAGCAAGGTCAGAGACAGGAGGAGCAGGCAATTCTCTCCATGGCGTGATATGGTGAGGAAAGGTGCTAAGGCAGGACATTTCCACAAGTAACCCCCTCAGGGGAGAAGGTCCGAGGGCCTGAAATGTTACCTTTGGAGCCCCACCAGCTTCCACTTCTGGAAGTCCGTGATCTGCAAAGGCGAGGTGGCCCAGTGCTTCACGGGCTTGGCGTAGGCTCCGGAATTGGGGATGAAAATGGAGAGGGCGGTGATGAGCTTCTCCACGGTGGCCTTGTCTTCTCCCAGCACCACCAGGGTCCTCCCGCTCAGCAGAGAGTAGATAGCGGGCTGGGCGAAGGGGTACTGCCGGATGAAGCGCAAGGCGCTCTGCCCGGCCTTCTTGGACTTTTCTCCCGCGAGAGCAGCAGGGGACGGGGTCCGGTCGGAGTTGGTGGACGCCGCGCTGCTCATGTAACTCACGGAATCCGAGCACTTATCCATGCTCGTTTTTCTGGCTTCTCGGCCGTCACAGAGGTAATGGGGGTCGAGTTCATAGGCAAGGAGGCCTCCCAGGACCCCATCGTGGGAGCAGTCTGTGAAGTTCACCTGAAACCCCGCGTCACCCGGTCTGTATGGCTGTGGGGGGATGCTGACCACGCCGTCGTCATCACCGTGTCCGGGAGTCACACTGGCTTGACCCTCAAGGAAGTTGGGGCTCTCTTTGCCAATGCAGCAAGAAGCATCCCCCGCAGGAGCTTCAGGCGCAGGGCTGCCTTCCACTTCCTCTTCGGTGCTGTCCAGATTTAATTCGCGGTTGAACAGGAAGCCTTCCTCTTCTTCGCCACCGTAAGGATCTTCGTTAATGGCACTTGGGTAGCTTGCTTTAAAATCGTCTGGGATCAGGGCCTCCGAGGGGCAGGTACTGAGGACTTCGATGCTGTCCCCGCTTATGGTCCTGTTGCTGGCGGCTTTGTCCCTCACCACGGGGGGGCTGGGGGGCGCTTGTAGCAAGCCAGACTGACTTTCAGAGTGGACGGAAGTTGTGGCCGATTTCTCCGTTCCCAAAACTTCAATGCTTTCGCCGCTGCTGACGCTCCCTTTCAGGTCGACATCTAGAAGTTCGACGTTGTCATAAGGGACGGGGTGGGAGACCTCTGGGTCTTGGCCGTCTCCGACTTCTGGATCCATCTTAATCGGCACAGACTCCACACTAGATTTGTAAGAGGCAAGATCGACGAGTATCTTAGGACTCGGGCAGCTTTCCAAAGAAGCCATGTTGGGTGGCTCCAGATTCTGCCCGGGACTGACTTCAAAGGGCTTTTCCTGCTGCTCCTCGTCCAGGAGAGACACGTCTTCGAAAAGGAAGCCGGCGAACGCCTGCTGCTTCATGAGGGCTCTGCTGATGCGGTTGATCAGGAGGTAGCAGACGTCGCCCCGGAACATCTTCTCGATGCGGTGCAACCGGTCGAGGGTCTGGCTGAAGGACTGCTCCTCACAGAGCTCCTGGAGGGTTTTCAGCTTCTTGTCGAAGCATTTGCTGGACTTGGCTGGGATGAGCTTCGGGGTGTAGGAGGAGCCCTGGGCAGAGGGCGGGGGCAACGTATCATCAACTGGTGACTCCGGCTGGGCATCCTCTCCGGTCGGCTCGCAGGGAGGCCCACTGGCCCGCTTCCGCCGTCCGGGTGGATAGGACTGGATCTGCCGCAGGAGGTCACGGTGCTCGATGATGGCCTTCTCCACGCTGGCCAGCTCGTTGGCCTTCTCGATGGCCCGGCTGGAGTAGCACCCTTTGGCCAGGCTGTGCTTCTGCAGCTCGGTCTCACGGTGCAGCACAGCCCGGGTGTAGTCCAGGTCGTGCAGCTTCTTCTCCAGCTCGCGGGCGAAGGCCCTGCGGTTGCCGTCCTTCAGCCCCTCCGAGGTGCCCGAGAACTGGGCCGAGAGCTCCGGGAAGAGGTGCATGACCTTGCGCTCGTCGGCCGACACGTAGGCCAGGCAGAAGGGCCGCACGAAGCCACGTGCCTCCAGGTCGTAGAGCGTCAGGTGGTGCACGTAGGCGAAGGCTCCGGCCTTGGAGTCGCCCAGCACCACCTGGGAGTCCCGGGCGAAGCGCAGGCGCGGGTAGGGGCCTCCGGGGGCCGCCCCCGCCGCGCAGGCCTGGTAGTCCACCGACATGATGCGCAGCGCGAAGTAGTTCAGGTCGAAGCCGCCCGGAGCCTCCACTGCCGGCACCGTCAGCAGCGGCTGCGGGCCCACCTGCTCCGAGAACTCGGCTACCAGCAGGAAGTCGCGCGGGAACGGCGGCGGGGAGCCCCCCGGGCCGCCCCCCAAGCCGCCTCGCCGGGACCACGGGTGGGCGCCGCGGCCTGGCGCGGGCAGCAGCGGCACCGAGTACTCCTCGGGCAAGCCCGGCTCGCGTGCCGCCGCCGCCGCTGCCTCCTCAGCCGCCGCCTCCTCCTTGGCGAAGGCCACCACGTCGGGCGCTCCGATCATCCTGGCCGGGAAACGGGGATCGCGGCCTGGCCCGCCCGAACCGCCGCCGCCGGTACCTCAGTTTGTCAGCCGCCGCCAGGCGGCCATCTTCGAGTCACATGACCCGTGGGCTGGGGACCTTGGCCCCGGAAGCAGTCTCGCCGAAAGTGGGGGGGGGGGCTGACAGCCGCCTGCTGCGATTGATAGGCTGAGTGGGTTGATTGACATGGACGGAGTAGGGGCGGAGCCGAGAAGAGGCCCGGCCGAAGGGCACGCTGGGTGTTGTAGTTCTGACTTTCATATGATTATTAAGAGGATGGTGAGATGATTTTTAGATATCATTCCTCCCTCCTGTTCTCCCCAGAGCAACCGCCCTGAGAGGTGGGCTGCAGGGCTGGGCGACACCGACCCTTCCTTTGCGACCAGCGGCTGCTTCCCCTTCCGCAAGGGGAGTCCCCGAAGTTGCGCAATCGCCGCCCTTTCACGGCAGGGCCGTCAAGCGAGCGAAACACCGCCCCCTTCGCCTCTCCGCCAATCCGCTTTGCCGAGGCCGCTTACGACGGCGCTGGGCGCGAAATACGGCTGGGAGCTGAAGCGGGAAGGGAAAGGAGGGGAGGGGGAGCAGATCAAGCAGGCGCCCCCACCCCCCAAGCGTGGGAAGAGCAAGTGGAGGAGGGGGGTCGCTGGGGGAGGGTCTCACAGGCCTGGAGGGGGAAGCTCTGCCTTGCAGGCTGAGGGGGGGGGCAGAGGAGGGGGCTGGGGGCACCACCCTGATCTTGTGGGGAATAAAAAGTGGGGAGGGGGAGACTCACAGGGCAGGCAGGTGGGTGGCCAGAAGGGCCTGAGGTCAGCCCAGCGCTGGTGGGTGCCTGATGATGGGGATCTGGAGAGGGTCTCTCCTATTGTGGGCCAAGTAGAAGAGGAGCTGCTACCCCAACAGCCCTGGGGGAGAGACTGGCGTCTCAGACCCCCCCCCAAAAAAACCACCATAGCCTGGGATTGCCTGAGGGAAGCTGCACCCACCCACCCACCTCCGCTGCTGCCCTTGGGATTCAGAGCTTCCGCTTCGGAGAACATTTGGGGGTCTCCTCATCCGCCCCTGTAACCTGTGGAAACTTGGGGGACCAGCCCTAAGAAGGGATCCGTTCTCTCTCTTTCGGACCGGACCAGAGTTCTCCTCCCTTGTGCCGACGGACCTTCATTGCCTGGAAAAAGGAGCTGCCGAGGGCTCACGATGGGCCGGCCGGCTGGGTTTTAGGATGCTGGGCCAAGCCAGAGGGTTTGCTTGGAGAACCGTGATGTTCTTCTCCTGCTCCTCCAGCCTTGGCTTCAGGCCGACGGCGAAGACCATGGAGCTTCGCAACCTCCAGAAGGTTCTCTGTGTGGCCGAGAAAAACGATGCCGCCCGCGGGATTGCAGACATCCTTTCGAACAGCAGGATGAGGAGGGTAGGGTTTCGTTTGGTTTATGGGATTTATATGCCAGGGAAGCCGACCCTGATTGCGAGATTTCCCCTGGTCAGTGGGAAGATAACACCGTCTTTGGGATGACTTGCCAGGACCCGATTCACTTCAAGCTGAAATCAATATCCAACTTGCTCACCTGAATTCCAGTTTATTAAATGAGCCGAAAAATCATTCTGGCAGAGGCGTGGGAAATCCAAACACCATTTCTACCATTAGTTCTCCTAGAACAGCTGTTAAAAGTACAGAAAATCTGCTAGGATCCCCAGGCGTTTATTTCTGTCCTTGTTGGTGGGCTGGAAAGCTCTTTTACATCTAGTCCATTGGTTCCTAAATTGGGGCAGGGCGGGTAATATCCCTCAAGGGAATAATCTGGGCCTGTTGTAAGAGTAATGGAGCGATTTATAATTGCATGTTTGTGAGCTGAAGATCCAGCCCAGGACTGTAAAACAACAGCCTAGGATTTTGGGGTGGGGGGGAATAATGCCTTTATTTGAGACTGCAGAAAGAAGTAAACGGATCAAGCAGAATTTGGTCAAATTCTACATAGAGCCAATAGTAGCAAAGTTACATCCTATATATAAATAGCATGGCTTATTGCTTGATGCCATAAGCATCCTGAGAGGTTTCTCAGGATATTTATCTGAGTATTGTATTGGTTATTTGTTTATTTAGTTGCTTTTTTGTGGATTAGAATTGTTTGCTTTCCTTTCCAGAGGGAAGGAATGTCCAAGTACAACAAGATCTATGAATTCCAGTATCACTTGTTTAACCAGGTTTGTGCCAAACAGTCCATCACAATTCCCTCTCTGCCTCTTATCACTACATCCGTAACTGGATATAACAGTGGTGTTATCAATAACTTTTGCTTTATTGCTTTGAACGATACAGCCAAGTGGCAAAACAAAAACTAATAAGAATCTAAATGGATTTAAAGTCTAAAATGGATTTTTAACTCTGTAAATATGAATCCACTTTTGCAGAACGACGCTTAGCATGACCGAGAATAATGTTATCTTCCTCTGTTTTATGCAGAATGTAACTTTGATTATGACATCTGTGTCCGGACATTTGCTGGCTCATGATTTCAAGGCACCATTTCGGAAATGGTATGTATCAGCAGAACAGGAAGGATGATTAACTTTCTGCAATTATGTAATCAGACTTTGAACAAGGCAACTCTCCTTATAGGCATAGATGTCTCTAGAATCTAGACAGCATTTTTTAAAAAAAATATTTTCTGTTTCCTGAATGCCTTTCTCTGATGCTCTTCCAATAGGCATAGCTGTAACCCCCTGGTCCTTTTCGATGCAGAAATTGAGAAATTCTGCCCTGAAAACTACATGGATATTAAGGTTTGTGCAGCCTCCTCTTTTAATAAGGTATCCTTCCTCCTTTTCTGTGGCTGCAATCTCTGGCTGACGAAGAGTGTGCCTTTGTGTCCAGCCACAGACATAAGATAAAATATCATTGGCTTATCTTAGAAGAGTGACTCTTTCTCCTCCGTTGTTTCATGTTGCTATATCCTATTGCCAATTCCAGCGCACCCTCGAGCGAGAGGTTCAGCCGTGCCAGGCCCTGGTGATCTGGACCGATTGTGATCGTGAAGGGGAGAACATTGGCTTTGAAATCATTCACGTGTGCAAAGCAGGTGTGTGTGGCGAAAGGGAGAAGGGCTGGACATTCACACATCCTTACGTGATTCTCCGGGACAAAGATTTTTGGCCCGGAAGCCATAGAGGTTTTATTGGTTGAGTGAGATTAAGAAAGTCTTCCAAATCACCAGGAGTTTCTTCCTCTGCCATGCTTTTGCTCGGCTTCCCCTGACTCCCGTGTCCTTCACCCTTTCTTGGACAGTGAAACCAAACCTCCAGGTCTTCCGAGCCCGCTTCTCGGAGATCACACCCCGGGCTATCAGATCCGCTTGCGAGAACCTCACCCAGCCAGATCCGAACGTCAACGATGCTGTGGAGGTGAGGCAAGAGCTGGATCTCAGAATAGGTAAGAGAGAAAGCAGAGCAGTCGGACCGCAGACCCAAGGGGTGGCTTGAGATACGGAGGAGGACGATGTCACCAAACACGGGTTGTTGTCAAAGCTAACTAAATTGCTTAATATCTGTTGTTTGGACTTCCTAAAACCAAACACTTTGATTTACTTTCTAACAGCTGTTGGTTAAAGTGACTTCTTGTTTTTCCTCGGAGCCGTTTTGTCCCCAGCTTTTTTTGGGGAAGAGCTGCTGTCGCTCCGCTGGTCCTGTCCAATAACTCCCCCCCCCTTGCGTTGTAGTTTCCTTTTCATGTTGGGCCCGGGTTTTTCTGCTTCCTTGACCCCAGGTGCTGCCTTCACCCGGTTCCAGACTCTGAGGCTCCAGAAGATCTTCCCGGAGGTGTTAGCGCAGCAGCTCATCAGCTACGGGAGTTGCCAGTTTCCCACCCTGGGCTTCGTGGTGGAGAGATTCAAAGCCATCCAGGCCTTCGTTCAAGAAACCTTCTACAGAATTAAAGGTTGGGGTTCAGAAGGGGAAGCCCAAGCAGGGAAGCACCTGGACTGAGAAACCCGCAGTGGGAAATGGCTTTGTCACATCCCATCCCCTTGTTCTTCGCGTTCTTCCCGCCATGTCGCATACCCCAGTTTTGTGTTTCGCACACCACTTTGGTCTGGCCTGTTAACGTCTTGTGTGTCTTCATGCAGGCAATTCCATCCCTCGCTTTCTTGGCCATCCTTGGGCCTGCCCTCTGGGCTGAGGGCAGGTGCCCTTCTCGCAATGGATTCCACCTGAGCGCTGCCCACACACGCCCCTATCACCGCAGTCTGGCTTTTCCCGTTTTGTCTGGAATTGGGGCGACTTTGGCTTTTGCCGTGAAATTGCATTGTCTACTTAAAGTGCAAAGTGTCAGAATTCCAATTAATAAGCCCCTAGCAAGCAAAAACTCCGAGGCAGACGAATTCCTCAAAGAATAGCTTTATTGGATGTATCACATTGGCCCAGATCTGGTGAAAACCAACTCAGAATAGCAATAGCAATAGCAGTTAGACTTATATACCGCTTCATAGGGCTTTCAGCCCTCTAAGCGGTTTACAGAGTCAGCATATTGCCCCCAACAACAATCCGGGTCCACATTTCATCCACCTCGGAAGGATGGAAGGCTGAGTCAACCCTGAGCTTTGAACAGCCGAACTGCAGATAGCAGTCAGCTGAAGTGGCCTGCAGTACTGCACCCCTAACCACTGCGCCACCTCGGCTCTAATTTAAACCATTTAAAGTCCGGATAAGAATAGCTCTCAGCTCAGTTTCTGATCCAATCCCCCCCCCCTTGGTAGATTCTCTCTTGGAAGTTGGACGTTCAGAGGGGACAGGGAAGTGACTAAATCCGAGGAATGTTTTGGCCTCCTTCCCTTGGTGAGAAGTCTGTCCTAAATTAAATCTTTTAACCGTGGAAATGTGTCATGGAGAGAATTGCATGATTCTTCCTGGCTGGAGAAAAATCACTGTTTTTCAAGTGCCACGGAGGCAATGCTCGTGTTCCTGATTCCAGGAATCCTATCGATTGTTATGTGGGCGCAGAGGAACATTTTGCCATGTAGGGATCAAGCGTGTTTTCCCCCTTCTTCTGCTGTAGGAACTTGAGAAATTGGCTTCCCGTAAGCTGAAAATAAACGCCAAGGAGACCATGAAGATTGCCGAGAAGCTGTATACCCAAGGGTAATAGAAGCGGCTATTTTTCTGTGGGTAAACTCCCTGTAGGATGGAGCCTGCTATTGATAAGGGCTAACACCATAGGATCACGAACTTTCAGTTCCATGGGGGTGTGTTTTTTTTCCACCAGGAAGATTTATTTTAATATATCTTCTCTCCCATTGTGCCCCATCTCTAGAGATGGTTGGTGCAAGCTAGAAACACAACTGGGTTGTGTGAAACCAGATAGGATCAGGAGGCTGAAAACACATCTCCTAAAAGGGGAGATTGCCCCGTGTTGCTCTGAGAAAGGGGGGGGGGGCATTAAGGCAATTCTCATGGGACGAATTGCAAGGCCTCGCAATCCCCTAGTTGGAATTGCTTGTAGCTGAGTAAATAATTAAAGTCCCGTTTCCTAGCGGGCCGAAGAGGTTATTGTCTAAAGCAGTGTTTCTCAACCTTGGCAACTTGAAGATGTCTGGACTTCAACTCCCAGAATTCCCCAGCCAGCGAATGCTGGCTGGGGAATTCTGGGAGTTGAAGTCCGGACATCTTTTAAGTTGCCAAGGTTGAGAAACACTGGTCTAAAGGACAGAAAAAGATTCCTTTTGAAAATAGACAGGAAGGATAGTTCGGCCGTTGAAATGATACGAGAGATTTTTTTTATAGCAAATGAGCAACAGCCTTAATGGGTGTACACACACACACACACACACACACACACCGTCTTTCACACACACACACACACGCCGTCTTTCATAAAAAGCACTTCTTAAAAAGTAACACCCCCCCATTTCCTTTCCTGGTTTTTAAAGGTACATAAGTTATCCCCGAACAGAGACCAACATTTTCCCCAAAGACTTAAATCTCTCCCAGCTGGTGCAGCTTCAGACCCAAGACCCCCACTGGGGAGCCTTTGCACAAAGGATCCTGGACCAAGGTGGGCCCACCCCACGGCGGGGGACAAAATCCGATCAGGCTCACCCTCCCATTCATCCCACCAAACACGCCGGGAACCTCCAGGTGAGTCCCGAGACTGACTGGCGCAGCTTTGCTTCCGAAGAGAGAGAGAGAGAGCGGTTTGTGACTGGTGTGTTTGGCTAACCCTGAAGAATCTGGAAAGTCAATGAAGCAGAAAGCAGAGCCTTACAAAATGCCCTTTTCTAAGAGGACAGGAATACATTTTCTTCTGGTTCAAAGCAGGAATATTTATTCCTGGAATCTCCAGGTGGGCTTTTCAGGCAAACCCCAGGTCTCATTTGAAAGGGCAGAGGGAAATGTCTAGGGAGGGTGTGCTGAATTCCTTGCTGCTTGTGTGGAAGAGCGGGGTTATCTTAAACATCTGTACGAATCGGTTTCTCTCCCGTCTTTCTCCTCCTGCCAAAAATCTCTTCGTTTTCCTCCCGTCGACCCTTTGCGTCCTACAAGGGCAACGACCAGCGCCTGTACGAATTCATCGTCCGCCACTTCCTGGCCTGCTGTTCCGAAGATGCGAAAGGGCAGGAGACCACGGTGGAGATCGAGATTTCCGGCGAGCGCTTCGTGGCTCACGGGTTGATGATCCTGGCCAGGAATTACCTGGAAGTCTACCCTTACGAAAGGTGGAGTGACAAGGTGGGAGCGCTCGAGGGTCAACTCCTTAGGAGAGGCCGTAGTATCTTGACCCGGGTACTTGAGAGACCGCCTGCTGCCAATTACCTCCCAAAGGCCCATTAGATCCCACAGATTAGGCCTCCTCCGGGTTCCATCTACTGGCCAATGTCGCCTGGCTACTACCCGGGGGAGGGCCTTCTCTGTGGCGGCTCCGGCCCTTTGGAACGAGCTCCCCGCAGAGATTCGGACCTAACCTCTCTCCAGGCCTTCCGAAAAGCCGTTAAAACCTGGCTGTGTCGGCAGTCCTGGGGTTGATGAGTTTCCCTTCCCCTCTCGAATTGTTTGATTGTTGATTGTCTTTTAAATTCCCTTATACCTTCTTAGTTGTATTTCCTTTGTGTTTACCTCCCCCCCCCCCTTGGGTTTGTTAGCCACCCTGAGTCCCTCAGGGAATAAGGCGGCATATAAATAAAATAAACCTTCAAACCTTCTTGAGAGAGGGAGAAAATTACTCATTCATAGTCTCCATTTGAACTATCAGTGCAGAGGTAGTCTTCAACAAACAGTCGCTCACTCCTAGATCATTACTACAAGACCACTACAAAGCCTCACTTTATGACGATCACGATTTAAGATTTAATGAATTTGTATGCCGCCCAATCCCGAAGGACTCTGGGCGGCTTAGATTAAAAAACAATTTAAAAATACTAAAAAATTTAAAATACAAAGATAAAACAAGTTAAAAGAACACAACATACACTCAATTCTTAGTGGGACTGGAACTCAATCGAGGATCAGCAGCCCCAGGCCTGCCGGAACAGCCAGGTTACTTAGTAGACTTTCGGAAGGCCGAGAGAGTGGGGAGGGTCTGGATCTCAGGGGGTAGATCGTTCCATAGGGCCGGGGCAGCTACAGAGAAGGCCCTCCCCCGAGGAGCCGCCAGACGAACATTGTGTAGTCGACGGCACCCGGAGAAGGCCCATCCTGTGAGACTTAGGAGCGTAATGGGCAGACTCCGTTCCGGTCGGAGGTGGAGGTCTACTGTATCCCTTTCTCATTTCTCCCGTCCTTCCTTATCTCCCCCCCTCCATGTAACCTCGTTTCCTCCCTGCCTTGTCTCCCTTCGCCCCCTCCCCACCACTTTGTCTCTGCAGGTGATCCCCCTCTACCAGGAGGGCTCCTGCTTCCAGCCCACCACGATGGAGATGGTGGAAGGGGAGACCAGCCCACCCCAGCTGCTCACCGAAGCGGATCTCATTTCCCTGATGGAGAAACATGGCATCGGTCAGTTCTGCCCCAGCTGCGGAGCAGAGATGTTTTCTCGCTTCTCGTTTATTTTGTGTGTTGCTGGTTTTTTTATTTATTTTAATTTACGTTCAAACTTGTACGTTGCCCATCTTGCCAAAGGCTTAAGGGTCTTCCCATACACCGATGGCTTCTTTGCCAGAAGCTTTGGATTCCCCTCTGCAGAGCGTTTTTCTGCTTGGGAGGCCAGCGCTGGTGACTGAACAGGCTGATCCGAGAGCGATTTGGGAGAAGAAAGGGGGGGCCAAGGATTGTGGGCATCCTGGCCAACAGCAGAGGGCAGGGATATTGAGGCTGGGCTGGATTGGGTCCCGGTTGGCGCCAGGACATCCTTGGGTTACGACGTAAATATTGCCAGGGGTGCAGAGAGCTCACCTCGAGGGCTTGTGAGTGTCACTACAGTTCCCAGCATGCAGTTGGGGAATCGTTGAGAGCTGCCTCTCTGGAAGGCAAAAAGGTTGGGCTTGGCGTCAGTGGATGGGAAGGGCTTTGGGCTGCGAGGGATTCTGGGAGTTGAAGTCCTCCCATCTTAAAAGCTGCTGGGTTGAGAAGCTCTAAGGAATGTTAGCCCCAGAGGAACCGGAGCCGCTCACGCCGCGCTTGGCTTTCAGGAACCGACGCCACCCACGCGGAGCACATCGAGACCATCAAGTCCCGCATGTACGTGGGGCTCACCCCGGACCAGCGCTTCCTTCCAGGGCACCTGGGGATGGGGCTGGTGGAAGGTAAGGACTGACCCTCTCTAGGAACCTGGCTCCCCCATTGAGCCTTTCCTCCGCCCACTCCTCTTTCCGCCTGCCCTCCTCCTCCTCCAGGCTACGACTCCATGGGCTACGAGATGTCCAAGCCGGACCTCCGAGCTGAGCTCGAGAACGACTTGAAGCTGATTTGCGAGGGGAAGAAGGACAAGGCCCTCGTGCTCCGAGAACAGATCCAGAAATACAAGCAAGTCTTTGTGGCCGCCGTGGCCAAGGCGAAAAAGTGAGGGCTGAACAATCCCCACCCCCATCAAGGAAAATTGGGGCCCCAGGGGGAGGTTGGTAGCCCCTGCCTGTACTCCCCTCGGTTGGCAGTGGATGGAGAGGAGAGGAAGGGCAGTTAAAAGGCCAGGGGAAGCTGCAAATAAATCCTTCTTTAAACTTTTGTTTCTTGTCTATAAGGGAAGTATCTATTTCAGAAATTTTTAAAAAGTAGATACGGCACAGAACTTTTTATCGAGTTGGTGTGGCTAGTTCAGGGCGGGACGGTGTTCGGTGCAAGTCCTTCCTTGATCCAAGATCAATTATGTAAGCAAAGAACTGGGTAATTCCTGTATTTATTTAGCTGCCCAAAAGAAACTGGGCGGGCAGCAAAATAAATACACAATTTAAAACGACAGTTTTTTTATTATTATTATTATTA